CTGTGACTCGACCCCCTGCAACCACATATAGGTGAGTATAGAGGCGAGTATATGTGATTGTGCCGAATAAGGTCAAGAATCTCTTGGTTCTGCAACAGAAGTGTCGCTACCTGTTAACGTATGTGCTGTATTCATGGAACATCGCCCCCGTGAGCCGGCCCTAGACCAGACCTCCTGGTCCAGGACTCTTTCCAACTCCGACTTCCCCACCTCATGAGAAAATCACTTCGTGGAATCCACAGAGGTGATTGGGTATTGAGGCATCAGTAGCTTTGCTATCGTGCGCAAGGAAATGCAAGAAAACAGCTATTACTCCACAAGACGGGCAACCATCTGGGGCTTGTGTCTCTCCCTCTTCACAAGGGACATTACTCTTTCATTCGTTCGTCTCTCAACTTAAAAATATACGTTGATGACTTGAGAAATCTGTTCAACTGACCACATAAAAACAATGGCCCAGAGTTGCCTCAGCCTCTCCATGTACACAATGTGGTGTTTAATGGTAAGTTTAGTTTACATCTGTAAAAACACACATGAAAGCAATTGCTAGAGCGAGGCTTTGTAATGAGATGAGGCAGGACCAAAGTTTGTAGTTCCTAATAACGTGTAGGAACTCTCATCCTTAATCTTTTATCAACTTTAAGTGATAAAAAGAGATGACGAGAGAGAGAAGAGAAGAGAAGAGAGAGAGAAAGAGAGAGAAAGATAAGCTTACAATCCCCAGGATGCTGCAAGAGAGGCGACCTCTGAGACCATTTCTCCGCCGCACGGAGCCGTGTCACCTGTATTGTCACGGCTGTTGACACTAGTCCTGATCACGTCTTCATGTATGTGCACACACACACGCACACAGGACCTATGACTCGACCCCAGCAAATACAACTAGGTTTACCTGGAGTTTACCTGGAGAGAGTTCCGGGGGTCAACACCCCCGCGGCCCGGTCTGTGACCAGTGAGTACAGTTTGCAGACTTCACTAAAAGAGAAAGACCCAAGACTGAGAATAATGCCTCTACACCCAATGCTCGTCTGGCAAATTTAAGCGTAGCTTCAGGAATCTTAATAGAATCATTTATGACTCTTTGTATGACGTATGTATGTCAGACCCATGTTGGAGACTGCAGCGCAAATATGGAACTCACAGAGGAAAAACGGATACGAAACTGGGGGAAGTGCAAAGATGTGATGCTAGATGCTTGTTCCAGAGCTAAGATGTATGAACTGCAAACAGAAACTAAAATAACTGAGTCTAACGACACTGGTTACAGAAGAACCTGGGGAGACATGATAACATCACACAACGAAACTCAGATGAATTGATAGGATAGGCAGGGATAGGCTTTTTGAGAGTCAGTAAACGTGTCCAATCTAGCTTATTGGCAAGACTCGACCCCTGCAACCACATACAGGCGAGTACACATACACACACACATACACACACACACACACACACACACACACACACACACACACACACACACACACACACACACACACGGGGAGGGTAGAGTCTACAGCCAGAAAGATAAAATAGTCTTATCTCCCCTCTTTATTGTCAGCAGAGAACCATTCCCCTATCTTGACTTTGCTTTCAGGACGAGATTGTTTTATCTGACGCCAAAAACACGTGTTTGGGAGTGACACAACAAATACATGTTAGGGAATAACACAGTAAACACGTGTTAGGGATCAACACAATAAAACAAGTGTGTCGGAAAACACAGTAAAACAGGTGTCTGGAAGTGACACAATAAAACAAGTGTGTCGGAAAACACAGTAAAACAGGTGTCTGGAAGTGACACAATAAAACAAGTGTGTCGGAAAATACAATAAAACAGGTGTCTGGAAGTGACACAATAAAACAAGTGTGTCGGAAAACACAGTAAAACAGGTGTCTGGAAGTGACACAATAAAACAAGTGTGTCGGAAAACACAGTAAAACAGGTGTCTGGAAATGATACAATAAAACAAGTGTGTCGGAAAACACAGTAAAACAGGTGTCTGGAAGTGATACAATAAAACAAGTGTGTGGGAATGGAAAGGCTAAACAGGTGTTTGAGAATGAAAAAAAAAACACAAGTGTTTAGGAATAACGTCGACTGCTTAGGATTCCATCTCTACGTAATCAATCAGGTTAATCTATCTTGGAGGAAATGTACGTCACTCCCTCCCTAGTATCCATCTATCTCTGAGCTGAGAGAAAGGAAGATACGCACTCGTCCCTCTATGTTTCTCCTCTCCATCTCGAGTAAGAGAAGGAAATATATTTGGCGTTTCTGATATCTTTCTTATATCTCTCTTCTCCATCTTCTCCATCTCCCTCAAGGGCGAGATATGTGGCAGCTTTCTCTTTCTCTCCATCCCACCTCCATTCCACTACCTCCCATCTATATACCACTACTCCCACCTATATACCATTACCTCCTGCTTATGTACTACTACCTCCCACCTATAAACCACTACCTCCCACCTCTATTCCACTGCCTCCCACCTATATACCACTACCTCCCACCTCTATTCCACTGCCTCCTACCTATATACCACTACTTCCCACCTCCATTCCACTACTTCCCATCTATATACCCCTATCTCCCACCTATAATCCACTACCTATTCTTTACCCCCACCTCGACTCCTCCCACTCACCACCTTTCGGGTAAATTCAATCTCTTACAAAAACGTAATATTCTTTACATTCGTGACTGTTATTGTGTTGAGTAGACTGTGTGTGTGTGTGTGTGTGTGTGTGTGTGTGTGTGTGTGTGTGTGTGTGTGTGTGTGTGTGTGTGTGTGTGTGTGTTGTGTGTGTGTGTTTAAGTAAATTACTTCTTTCGTTGCTTTTAATTTATTACCACAGCTAAGATCCTCTGTTTTTTCCCCTAATACACAACTTGAAGAACATGTACGATGAACCTCTTTCTCAAGGGCGACAACAGTTTAAATGTATGTTGGCTTAGCTACACAAGTGAAGTCAGTCATAATATACGATACATGCAAGCATAGATTACGTATCTGTATATGTA